GATCCGAGACCCAAAACAGCAGTCTTCTGGATGCTAAACCCTAGTGTAACCCTGAACAACCTACCTCTTTACGGCTCCGGTCCTGATTTCCTTATTTCAGTCCTAGGCCCACCTTTTCAGGGGTCCCTGTTATGGTTTCCTTCTTTGGGTTTTGGGTGCCTTTCTAGGGCTCCTTAACATGATTTCCCTGTTTAAGTCCTTAGAAAGGGAGGCTCTTGGGGCTACGGTAAGCCTCGACTATGCCAAAACCTATAGCTCAAAGTCCGAGGGGCAGAACTTGCTAGCAACGCGATAGGGCCCTTCATTGCAAGAACAGGAGGTCCGCGGTTTCAATTAGGGTTATGGGCTTTGCACCCTAAACCTATAGACTGAAAAACCCTGAACCCCTAAAAGCCTATAAGCCTTAAGCCCTAAACCATAAACTCTAAATCCAAGACCCCAAAAACAAAACCCTAAGCCGCTTTCGAGTTCCTCGTATCGCGCATCCTCGCCCTCGCCGAAAGCCATGGCATACCTTGGCGTGCTTTTGCTGTTGGTTCCTAGAGGCTCTTAGGGCTAAATGGCTAAATGCGTAGGGCCTTCATGATTAGAATAGGGTTCCTTTAAAGGGGTGTATAAGGGCTACTACAACGGATCTGCAGGGGTACTTTCTGTCTGGTTCTTAGAAGCGAATGGAGGAATGGATTATAGAGACTGTAATTGGGGATTCTATAGGGACTACTTTCTATAGGGATCAATTCCCCGATTCCCTACTAAGCACCAGGGTGTTTGGGCGCTGAGAGAGCCCTGCAAGAGCCCTCGAAGGAAGGGCCCTTTAAAGGGATGTCCTTAGGGATTCCTATAAGGGTAGTATAAGGCTTTTCCTTACACATGTTAGACCCCATAGAGTCTTAGGGTTTAGGGCTTCGGCTTGTGGCTCAGAGGTCTGCGGGCTCCGTTGGTTTGCAAACGATCCGTTTAGGGGTTGCAGGCTTCATGCTCTGAAACGACGGGATCCTTCGCGAAACAAAGATTACTCCCCAGAAGAGTACCCAGCTCTGATCATACAGACCTTGCAGGGAACCCTCCGTTAAGCAAACTCCTAAACGCCCTAAACCCCTTAAACAAAAAAAGACAACAGCAACAACCTGGCGAACACGCAACCAAGCCTTAATGCCACGACCGTCTATCGCAAGTAAAACGGAATTACACCCTAATAAGAATATTCATAATACTAATACTCATAATAATGGTCGCAATACTACCAATAAACATCGTACGAATAAAAGACTGGTGCCAGTAACAATGACAATGAACGTACGAATATTACTAAATTGAAAAATCACGAATATTGACTTTTCACAAGAATATACCCAAACAAACGATCAAACCTATGAGCATGCTAATCACAGCGCTCAGAAGCACTAAGAAACGCTGGTGCAGCATCTTCGGGTTGCAGTGAGGGAGCACTGCAGGGTTTACGATTTGCGGGTTTAAGGTAGATTTAGCGGGGTTTAGGGTTTAGGGTCTAGGGTTTACGGGTTTAGGGTTTAGGGGTTTAGGGTTTAGGGTGTACGGGTTTAGGGTTGACGGGTCCAAGATTCGCTTTCGGAGTCTCGCCGAAAGGGTATAGTTGAAGCTTCAACTTAAACAGTGGCCCCACAAGAAGCTCAAGCTGCGGGGTTCAGAGGTTGAAAACCCTCAACCCCTAAACCCGAAAACCCTAAGCCCTAACTAAACCCACCTAAACCCTAAACCCCGAACTCTAAACCCCGAAGCCCTAAACCACGTCAACCCACGAGTTCAGGAAGGTGCTGGCAAATGGTTTGGATAGAGGCGGCCTCTGGCCATGAGAACTAAAATCCCCGGGCTGAGGCTTCTGAGGGTTCAGAGTTTAGTGTTTACCCAAAGGGTCTAAGTATCATTCTGGTATATACGTAGAACCCCCAAAAGACACTATAAGTATATGGGTAGTTGTCAAAATTAAGGTCTCTTTTTGGCTCCTTAATGTAATACGGCACTTAATATTTAGGGTACCGAGAAAGGGACCATAATTTTGTCAACTACCCATAAACCATAATGATACTTGGACCCTTTAGGTTAGGATGGTTTAGGGACTTCTAAGTGTTGTCAGCCGTGCAGCGGCAAAGGAATGACGAGAGCTGAGCACCTCCTTTTGTCGATAAGCAAGCTTTTAAAGCCCAGGGACGCGCCGCACACAAACTTGTTTGGAAGTTTCAAAAGATATAGGACACCAACATATACCCTAAATCACAAGATCATGTTATATAATAAGAGCCCGTCAATTCAAACAAGCTGTATGTCAGTTCAGTTCTGAAACCCCCATATCGTGCACGGAAAATGTCGGCAAACGGCTCAACCGCTCGCCTGACGCAGTGTCGGTTGCGCAACGACTGATATTTTTCAGTATACTTTAACATACTACGTTGTATTATTGTTATCTTACATCAAATTATGTTGTATTACATTCTTACATAGTGCCTTTCTACTATGCTATCAAAGTAGAACTTAGTTGCCCCAAAATTTCGGGACCTCTTTTGTAAGCATTCCAAGGCTTAAAACACGGTGCAAACTTTTCTGTGAGAGCTAACCCTAAACCCTAAACCAGAACCCAAAAACATAAACCACAGGGCTTTAAGGGTTTGGGGTTTGGGGACTTCGGCTTTCCAGCCCGAGCTTTTGGAGTTCGCGGAGCAAGCCGCGGCGCACAGCATCGGATAACTCGTCTTGAAGCCGAAGCTGTGTAAACTTCAGCAGCTGATTGCAAGATGGGATTTGGACCCGATCGAACTAAACCCAGGGGATCATGACGGGGTAATTTATCGGGATACCGAGGCCTGCAGCTACCATTGCGGCGAAGCTTGTTCCTAAGCTCGAGGTTCACCAGTCAAACGACAACTGTTGGGTTTTCGGGTTTTCGTGTCTGTCACCCCGGCTATCAGAAACCTCACTAGCACCCTAGACCAAACCCGCTTGATTCAGTCCAGTTCCTCCAGCATGTATGGGCATCAAGTCATCTGCTGCAACAGCAGCCAGGGTATCTGGACTTTCCTAGAGGGTCCAGCCCTTCCACTGTTTTAGGGTACCTAGGTTCTATAGTTAGGACTGGATCTGTTATCTAGAAAATGAGACGCACAGCTGTTGCGATGCAAGCAGGCACAGGCAAGTAAGGATCGGGTGCTTAGGGTACCATGGTTTATCGAAATTACGGCACACTACTTAAGCTTTTTGAGGATGCTAAGCTATGCTATGGCCATAAAAGAAGAAATCAACGATGTGTCTACCAAGCAGGTTTCAAGTGCATCCTAAATCCCACCATCGAAGTGCATGCGGGAGTTGATCCAACAGCACCATGGCATAGGTTTAGAGAACTACACATCCTTGATGCCATGAGCTACCATCAAAGCTGTCGTATGGGAACTCAAACATGTAACGAACAACATGTCTGAGGATTCCCTAAGGGTCCATGTGCCCAGATAGTATATACTTTTGCCTTAAGGGACTCCCTATACAAATACTCTAGGGCCAAGTAGTAGCTACTACTCCTACTACTACTACTACAACAACCACTACTACTACTACTACTACTACTACAACTACTACTACTACTACTACTACTACTACTACTACTACTACTACTACCAGCACCACCACCACCACGACTACTACTACGACTACGACTACGACTACTACGACTACTACTACTACTACTACTACTACTACTACTACTACTAGTACTACTACTACTACTACTACTACTACTACTACTGCTACTACTACTACTACGACTACGACTGCGACTGCGACTACGACTACGACTACGACTACTAGTACTACTACTACTACTACTACTACTACTACTACTACTACTACTACTACTACTACGACTACGACTACGACTACGACTACGACTACGACTACTAGTACTAGTAGTGGTACTACTACTAGTACTACTACTAGTACTACTACTACTACTACTACAACAACTACTACTGCTACTACTACTATTACTGCTACTACTATTACTACTACTACTACTACTACTACTACTACTACTACTACTACTACTACTACTACTACTACTACTACTACTACTACTACTCCACTACTACTCCACTACTACTATTACTAGTACTATTACGATTATGATTACTATTACTATTACTATTACTACTACGACTACGACTACTACTACTACTACTACTACTACTACTACTACTACTACTACTACTACTACTACTACTACTACTACTACTACTACTACTACTACTACTACTACTACTACTACTACTACTACTACTACTACTACTACTACGACTACTCCTACTACTACTACTACTACTACTACTACTACTACTACTACTACTACTACTACTACTACTACTACTACTATTACTACTACTACTACGACGACGACCACGACGACGACCACGACGACGACGACGACAACGACTACGAGTACTAGTACTCTCACGACCACTGCTATTATGGGCGCATGGAGCCTCAAGAGTTTCGAGGGTACCCCCTTGCTCTAAGAAGCATGGGCCTGGGCTTCGGACAACTCCCACGCGGCTTTGTACAGGAAACTTCCTGGTTCGACATGGGTTTGCACGGGGTTTAGGAAGATCTCGGCAGATCCCTTAGAAATCGTTCCTTGTGATCCCTTATAAATCCAGCTTGAGGTGTTTTGGTGCTGTGTGAAAATGTCTAGGCGAAGGCCGAATTCTTGCAGCTTTGTGATGATCTGATGGACCGATCTTGTTTTGACACAAATGCCCAGAGACTCACCAAACCTACACCTATACTAGGTTCCCGGCTAGTATCCTGTTGCCCTTTCTAGTAGCGTACCCTTACTAATAGGGGATACTGGGGGACCTAGCGCCACACTGATGGGATTCTTGGGGTATGGGTTCTTTAGTATGAACCCAATAATGGGAACCCGAATCCATACTAAACCCCCGAAAACCCTTTTGGCCTCCTATGACACACTGGCGAAACCTTCAAACCCAGGCTTTGCGGCACATGGCGGGCGGCTGCAGTGGGCTCTGCGGCAAGGCGAGCACGCAAGTCGGTCTGTCCTGCACTTGAAGGTTTGGGGCTTGCGGTTTAGGGCTTAGGGGGGTTAGGGTTTAGGAGTTTAGGGGGTTTAGGGTTTAGGGCTTTAGGGGGTTTAGGGAAGTTTAGGAGTTTAGGGGGTTTAGGGCTTACGGGGTTTAGGTTTTAGGGTTTCGGTTCGGGGCTTACGGCATAGAGGGTTGGTGATATCAAATTCAAAGAGGGCTTCTATCGAGACTGGGGATGAACTGAAGGTTCATACACAAGCAGGGCCACCCAAAAGCACCTGAATTGGGATACGCATACTTGCACCTAGAGACTATACAGACTATACCCGCTTAGAACCATAGTACAAATATCATGTTTAATGTTCTCTTGGGTCTTACATGACAAAAAACCTAAGGAGACTATAGTTAGCCTGATCCCTAGTTTCGAGATTAAAGTTGTGTCGTCAATGAATGCACTCCACATAGCAAGGCATGGTGTCCCGGTCGCTGTAGTTGTCGAGCAGCGCTCGGGCTGCCCGGAGATGATTTGCCTCATCCCAAGATTTCCCAGCAACGAACGGCGCTACATCAACACTAAGGGAATGCATCTCTGGGAACCCGCTCCTCCAGTGTGACCTTTGCCGACCCTGAGCCCCAATACATATCGGGCCACCCCAAGGTAGGGACTTCGGTTCAAGATGTCTCAATGCATGTTCGGCATGTTCTTGGGCCTACTGGAAGGCTCTAAGTAACAGCATCTCAGGCGAGGAGGCCTGCATGCAGCAAGCCGATCAGTCAGATGACCCCTAGCTCAAGACATGTCCATATCTGTCTCGTAGCTGTGGTATTGCTGGAGGCAGGCCACAGCACTACTTACGATTGAGGGCCCTTTCATTGATCTTGGCGAAGCCCTTCATATTCCGAAACACCACCCCCAGGCAAAACTAAAACCCTAAATTTGCAAACCCCACAGACCCTGAAGCCCTCGCAGCCTCGATGAACACAAGCCCAAACCAACCTCGACGCCTTGATTCAAGGTTCGGGCTTCTTGGGTGCAGTACTGTCTTAATGGAGGAGTTAACCAAAAAACGAACTCCTGCCACTGAGTACTTACTACCTGCCGCAAGGCCGGAAAAAACCGAGTAATCTCCCTGAGCCCCGAAATCGCAGCTTAAATTCCTAGCTCTCCAGTGAAGCCAAGCGTCTGCCACCGCCAAGTCCAGCGGCGTCCTGATGTTGGGCATACACTATGTACTGGGCCCAATAATTCGATACTCGGGTTTGGGATAGTAGTTAAGCATGGAGGTTTCTTGCCATTTTCAAAGGTATGTTGATTAGTATAGGTACTTGCACCCTTCGGGTATATACCCTAATCCCTAGGGCTCCCAGGACTCACATATTCAGGCCTTTGGGCCCAAAGACCATACTATATAAGGCTTTGGGCTATTTTGATCCCCAGGGAATTAAGCTGCAAACCCTCGCTACTTGATCAGAAGGCCTTCATCCACACGGCCCGACGATCCATGCACTCATCCGCGAAACCTCCAGCCGTAAGCGGCCTTGATCAGTTGTCCCTACTCAACCCCAAAAAAACCCCATGTAGAACCCGAGGCTTGTGTAAAGCCTCAATCCTGAAACATAGAAGCCCTAAAAAGAATGAAGCCCTAAGAGGAATGTGTATATAAACCCTGATACCTGAACAAACTCTAAGCCCAGAACCCTTATAAAGCCCGTCAAGGAAATTGTCTAGCGACCTTCTCAAAGAAAACAGCTGTGTCACCCAAGACTCAGTGGGGACCGAAAGCCTGCAATCAATGAATTTCTTATGATTTTCTGGCTGAGGCTTTTGGGTTTAGGATTCACCTGAACCCCCAAAACCTACCTCTTCAGGACCTATGACCTATGTAACGAGATCATGGTAAAAGGAACGCTGAAAACTTCAGGCAGGGTTTCGGGCAAGTTTGACCCCCTTTGTGTTGAAATGATCCTCCCACATGGTCTTGTAATTACACGAGAAGCTCAACCTCGCCACAGAGGTGAAGCAGGACCACTTTGAAGCTCCTCAAGGACACCGAAAACCCAGCCAATTCTGGCAAACATGCCTTAAACCATCTTGAACCCAAGACTTAAGCCATCTTGAACCTAAAACTTAGGCCATCTTAAACCTAAAGCTTAAGCCATCTTAAACCTAAAACTTCAGCCGACGGTCCCAAACAGTCCTTAGCTCCGCAGCTGATGGGAGGACAGAATTCCTAAGGTCCAGACCCCTGAACCCCTAAACCCTAAACCCCTGAACCCTAAACACCCAAACCCTAAACCCCTGAACCCTAAACCCCTAAACCCTAAACCCATGAGCCCTAAACCCCTAAACTCTGAACCCTAAACCCTAAACCAAACCTAAGACCCAAGTGCCTTCCGAAGTTGTCCGCCTTGCGGATGTCAACTCCTACCTGCCGCAAAGATGCTAGCTGTGCATGATCTTGGTTTGGGTTGAACGCTTCCAGGTTCAGGTGTTGCGTTTGGAGTGTAGCGTCTAGGGTTTACGGAGCCGATCGCCTGGAACCCCTGAACCCTAAGCTCTGCGACAAAGACTGGCTCACCGGCTTATTAACAAACATGACTGGGAGTTCATGGTCTTAGGGTTCCCATTCCTTAGGGTGGGTTTCGGATGTCCTGCCTCTTCGGAAATCTCGATTTAGGGTTTAGAGCAGCCAAGCACAGGAACTATACGAGAGCTTCGCATGGGACATAAGCCTGATACCTCGAAGCATTCGCCACTAGCCCTCAGCCCCGTGATGCTCTGTTACTCGCAATCCTTCATACCTCCTTGTACATCTTACAGTGGAGTCTCAGATCCTCGTTGCATACCCTAGCAACCTAGCATAGCGAAAGAAACACAAAGCGAATCGAACTTTGAACAGCTCCCTGCCTGGAACCCACACTATAAAATCTGGTGAGGCCCTCCCCCACACCCACCTTCAGCATCATCTTCACAATCTCAACATTTCCCTGTCGAGCTGCCTGCACGTCCAGTCGCTACGACAGTCTGTGCTCTAAGCTAAGTTAATAGGAACCCAGAGCGCCCACTAATTTGACGCAGGGGTCTTGATGATTAGAAAAGGGTTCAAAGGTAGATGATAGCTTGTATACATTATCATGGAAGCCGAAAAGCCTCGGGAATAATACTGACAAGTGTTTAGGCCCATGTAGTTAAAAAATTGTCAGTGAGTAGTGAGTACTATAGGGGCCCTAATAATTACCTATACTAATTGGGGGTTCCTTCATATAATCATAGTATAGTATACCCCAAAACCCTGTTCTATTTATTAAGGCCCCTAGAGTATTCCTGGAACCTGGGATCTTGGGGTTCTCTGCGTGCTGGCTCGGTAAGGACAGTCTACGAGCACCCTTCACAGGGGACCCTTCGGAAGCCTATTTAAAGGATCATGGGACTTAGTAACTAGGGTTATAATTCGGGTAACTATACTTATAACCACATATAACCCCCATTAAGGTACTTATAACCTTACTTACTAAGTCCCATGATCCTCCAAGTATTATGTTATTGTACGCTTTTAACATGGCCGTAAGGGACCCTGTTATGGTACGACGATGTGAACCTTCAGGTGCATGCAAGAAGGCAGGAGCACAATGCGGAGACTTCTTGTCTTGCCAGTGCCCCGTTCAACGACGAGGGCCACCCTGCATTTTGTTTTTGGTCAGCTCCAGCAACAAAGGAACAAAGGGTATCACCTTGTTTAACGAAAGCCCACATCAACAAAACACGAGCTATACCAAAGAGTCTAGGGTATTTAGAGCAATACAGCAGCTTGTCCACCAGAACAAATGTACCTCCGGACTATCTGTTGGTCATTCGAAGAGTTTTACAGTTCCCCTTGCGAAGAGTCGATCCTTGAAGGGAGAAATATTTTCGAAGAAGCTACATCTATGTTAGTTTAGCGGCCTTCAGGTATCGGATTCCGGCAAAACCCCCAAATGCTGAGCCTTGTTACTTAGGTTGGTCCTCAGCACCCTCTGCGGAACATCAGTCAGCAAGATCGAACATTCGTCGGCGAGATTCTTGTAGACTCAACAACAAGGGACCTTTTTAGAGGGTTTTTATTAAAAAAACTCTCAACAACAAGGGACCGGGATCATTGTAAAATGCCTGTCTCACCTCATTGACGCTTAACCCACGAAGCCCTAAATCCTCAACCCGTCCTCGCGAACTTAAGTCTCCCCAAAGGGTCCAAGTATCAATATGGAATATACTTAGACCCCCAAAACACGCCATAAGGGTTTATCGCGAACGATTTTGAACAGCGAAAACTCAGCAGACAGTTTTCGGCCTCAAACCCCTATAAGTAGTATATACCATAATTCCAGGGGTAAGAGGAAGGACCCTTAATAAGGGCCCCTAGGTATATACCCTTAATATAGCTATTATATACCCTTTGAATCTGTGGGCTTCTAGGTCCCCCCCAGTAACCCCGGAGTAATGAGGGTACCCTTTTTCCTCATCTGCGGCTTTAATGAGGAGTCCCCAAAACAGGAAGGGCGATAGGGTACTACCTAGGAACCTAGGAAAAACAGAGGCCTATACAATTACCAGTACTATTTTTGAGGGATCCCTGTTATACTTAAACTATAACGAGGCCCGATACCCTGTTCTAGTTACTACATGAAGTCTCTGAACCCTGGAGCCCTTGAATCATGGAATCTTGTAAGGGTACTACTTCAGAAACAAGTCTTTCAACCCTGAAGAAGTCGAAGCTCCTCGTGAAGTGGCGTCCGGCCGAACCAGTCCGCTTGGTTTCGATTGGCGCCTGACTCAAAAGCTCAGGGTGTACCTGGACCCCAAAAGTATGTAGAATAATCGCCTTTTATGGGTGTTGGGCCAAAATTTTTGCTTTTGGGGGGGTGTAGGTATAGAGTCTAGGCTAGGTGATCCTGAACACTTAGCGGCTTCGGGTTGGGGTCTGGTTCAGCACCGCGGATTGAGGGTTCAAGGTTTACAAAGGATTCGTGACTGGCTTTCGGCACGAAGCAAAGCAGACAAAGTTGGCGGAATTGTGGTCTAAGCAGGTAACTGCGACCAATAAAATACAGTACCTGCCATCCTTCTTACAACTACCCACGACCCTTGAGGGTACCTTCAGCCAGTGAGGCACAAAGCCTTCGGTTGCAAGCACAGGCGTTCTGTAGGCATGTCGATGTTCTCAAACTGCATTTACATAGGGACCGAGTCTAGCGGCTAGCAGCACGAACTCCGAAACCCCGAACAACATTGGGTCTTCTGTTTCAGAAATCAAAGCAATCTGGACTCCCTCTGCCTCAGGGTCCCCTATACCGACTACGGATTCCTTTAGTGTTAGCGGCTGTTAGCGTTGATGGTGTACATCCGGCATTATATCCATAGTAAGGAATATACCATAGTTCTCATGGTCTGCAGTCATTAAGGTAATGCAGGATTTATATCATCAACAGTAGGGTATGGGAGTTAGGATGTTGTGCTCCTAAACATGCAGAACAACTGGCAAAGCCTCGACACCCGAACTGCCATGAATAGAAAGGAATGGGGTAAATCTGCCGGACCGAGAGACTTTGTCATGTTCAGGGCAGCCTCCTTAAGCCACATGGTTCCGAAACTATAGACAGTAAATAAAAAGCCCAAAGCATCGCAGGAAGCCGTTGTTGTGCCTGTAAACCAACCTGCCAAGTCTGCGGATCCTCTAAGCGGAGCGTCCTAAGCATGGGATCGGGCCTTCTCCAATCAGCAGCCGCACCACGGCGAAATGTGAGCCGCACCTGGTTTGTCCGTGCACTTACAGGCACAAAACATTCTTACATGTTGAATGAATGAATATCGTGTTCATACAGCAGGGTTGGCGAAACGTGTTAACAATGTTAACTATAATGTTAAGTATGTCTGTTTGGGTTCTACAGCTTATTCAAACACAGACACCGAAGAAGCCACATTGTTGACACCAATGCAAGCGCTTCTGTCTTGCACCTAAACAGTAGTAACCCAAGATCCAACACTCCAACATGCAACCCAAGCAACCCTCGGCCTCGTGATGTGTTTAGAGAGGCCCCATCTACCTAGTTTCACTAGCTAGGGAGGCAAGCCCTAAAACCTTCTAAAACGGCGCCGTTCTTGCAGATCTTTTCAAAATCAGAATCTTCGCTCCTTGTCTCAGACTCCCAAACCCCAAAGTTTTACATGCTAAACTCGACCATCCCAGAACCACCCCAAACCCTGAAACCCGAAAACCCCAAACCCTAGAGCCCTGAACCCTCAAGCCCTAAACCCTACAAAACCCCAAACCCTCTAAACTACACCATCCCAGAACCACCCGAAGCCAGCGACCGGGGACCGGGCACAGCTATGCTGAGCGGAGTGCGACCGTGGGGATCTGCCTTGCTCTTATTCGCCTCACGGTACGCTGCGCAAGAAGAGTCTTGGGCTTACCCGGACCCTAAGAGGTGATTGTTGCTTCATATGATTTTCGTATATACATATGTATATATATATATACACACACATTCACACATACATCTAAAAAAAGTGGGCTGTCTAGGAGCCAGGTAGGATCGGAAATTTACAGGGCTCGGGAAGGTGCTGAAGGGGGGGGGAGGGGGGGGAAAGCCGGCGAAACACAACGTCTCCAATACGAGAACCCCCACTGCCATAAAGCCGGACATTCCTAAGGCTTAGGGCTCAGGACCCAGAGTTCGAGTGTCAGTCTTGACCCAACCCACTTCAACCCTGTACTCAATACCGTAAACCTTAAACCCTGAACGCTGCACAAAGGCTTGTTGGGTTATTTGGGACACCCTCAACTTCTGGAACCCCTCCAAACACCCCAGGGCCCGACATTTAGCCATACTAGAACCTTTATACAACCATAAACACTCAACCCCAAAACCTGAACTGGAAAAAACCCTGTGGTACCCTAATAGAGCCCTTATAAGCCCACAAACCCTGAAGCTGAACTCTAAAGCCCTAAAGCTGCTAAACCCTAAACCATAAACCCTAAACCCCTAAACCCTAAACGCTATAAGCCGTGAACCCTATAAGCAATCTCGGCCGCGGTACCCCAGCTTCCACCAAAGCCCGAACGACAGGAAGCGATCCCAGGAATGCTGCAAGAAACAAGGGCGTCCTGGCGGTGAGCTTAAGGCTTTGAGGGGTTAGGGGCTTGTATAGGGTTTAGGGCTTTGAGGGTTTAACGGTTTATGTAGGGCCATGTAGGGTAGGGTTTTGAAAGTTTTTCGGCCTGTTCAGGGTCCAGGGGATTTTAAGGGCTCAAGGGTTTAAGGGTAAAGGGCTTGAAGTGTTTAGGGTTTAGGAAAGTTTAGGGCTTGGAGTTGTAAGGGTTTGGGGGTTTTCCAGCACCCCGGAACTAGCCTGTATGGGCACTACTGCTGATGGACAAAATCCTGCATCACCCATTATAAGGAATACACCTTAATTCCCATAGTTTAGGGTCCTGAAGGTCATGCAGGATTTTGTCCATGAAAAGTATGAAGAACCAGAAGGCCGCTAATTCAAGGGGGCTTGGCGGGTGCTGGTAGGGTGTTTAGGGTTCAGGGTTTCGGGGCTTAGAGTCTTTCTGTGTCTGCTAAAGTAAAAGCCAGAAAGTTGGAAGATGATTATCCTAAGCCCTTCTATGGTAAATTATAGGGTATCCTACCCTGAAACCATATTCCAACTTTCTGGAGTTCCCTTTGTGAGAATTTAGGGAGTCGGCCTGTACCACTATCAGGCCTTTCCCTGCAGACGAGGTTTGAAGTCACAGCTTCAAGCCCGGACCAAATAACCGTTAAGGTTACTCCTTTAAGAGATTCCTTCAAGGGCTCCTGTCAGTGATTTAAACGGGATCTGGAAGCGCTATACGTCCAAAGAGGCGCCCTTAAAGCTGTGAAGAGGCATGAGGGTCTCCTGTACGTAAGGGATCGTTGCCGGTGGTTGGGGTTAAGCCGGTAGGGTATAAGCCTCCAGGTACGCACATTCCGGAAGCCGAGGCTGCTGAACAATGAAACCAAGGGTTTAGGAGTTTAGGGCTTAGGGTGTTTATACTGTAGAGGCCTAAATATTGTGGGGGTTCCTCATTATAGCTATAGCATAACGGGCCCCAAAACCTTATTTTAATTATTAAGGCCCCTACATTAGGGTTTAGAAAACCCACTACGAGCTGACTGGGGTGGCGGTCTGTCCTGCCATCCCAATCCGCCTTGTTCTTGTCGGCCCCACCCCGAACCAAGAGGTCCACCACTCGCACAGAACCTCAGTATTGCTGTATTTGGAGGGCAAGGGACGTCGTCGTAAGCAGCTCTGATAAACAAACAGACGCTGCCAAGTCATTAGGTTATGCATGTTGTGCCTTTACTCTGAGAACAGCATACTACCGTAGTTCCCCTGATCTTCTGATTCCTGTTCATGATCTATGCCTTGGGTTTAGGATTTAGACTTTAGGATACTTTAGGGTTTAGGGTTTTGGGAAGCGAAGGGTTGATCTGGATTTTGCGGCCTCTGGTAAGCACATCCAAGGTGCTGTTCCAGACGGCCATGTGCAAAGGCGCCCGCCCTTGTTGATCTGCCTGACGAAACGCTCTCAACTAAACCCTAAACCCTAAACCCCTAAACCCTAACTTATGGACAGTCCGAAAATCTAAACCCCATGTGCATTACTTGGCCTTCTTGGAAGCAACTCTAAGCTCCCAAACGTCGCGCACAGACTATGATGAGGGCAGGAACTGCGGAGGGTTTAGAGTTCAGGGTTCAGGGCTTGATTATAATGTTCGGGGATCAAGTCTTGGGGACGGTGTGGAATCGATTCTGCCTAGGTCCTACGTAGGTACACTTGCTGCAGGTTTACGGCGGAGGGCCTCAAGAGGCCCGAATCCAAGAAATAAAATGCAGTGGCCTTAATAATTAGAATAGGGTTTTGAGGTACATTATAGTATAGCTATAGTGAGGACCCCCCCCCAAAACAGTGGTGGTATTAATCCCAACAAACCACGTTACGCCCTCAACTCTCAGCCAAAACCAGTCGAAATCCTCGACTCCAGATCCTGCTGCTCACTCCAAGACAAACATCAAGCTTGGGGCTTTAGCGTGTAGGGAAACTAGGATGCCCAGTAACCTAGGAACAATCCCTTTTTCGGTTTTGGAACTTTCAACCGAACTGAAAGACTCCTCCAACCATAAGCCCAACACCCTAAACCCCCAAAAGCCTCAATCCTAAACGCAAAAGTTTAGGCTTCGCACACCCTAAGAAACATCAACTCAAAGCCCAAACCCTTCCGTCGGAAACCCAACCGGGCTTCCAGGGTCTACCATACAACATACCTTCATACGGTCCTTATGCTGATTTTATACGTAAATATATATATATATATACACACACACATGTATAGCATACCTTCATAAGGTCCTTATTCTGATTTAAATAAATAAATATAAATATAAATATAAATATAAATATAAATATAAATATAAATATAAATATAAATGTAATTATAAATATAAATATAAATATAAGTATAAATATAAATGTTAATTTAAAAATATAAATATGAATATAAGCATAAATATATATCTATATCTATCTATATCTATCTATATATATATATATATGTATATATATATATATATGTATATATATATATATATATACATATCTAGATATATATAACACATACCTTCATAAGGTCCGTATTCTGACTATATACGTGCATATATATATATATATATATAAAGAGAGAGAGAGAGAGAGAGAGAGAGAGAGAGAGAGAGAGAGAGAGAGAGAGAGAGAGAGAGAGAGAGAGAGAGAGAGAGAGAGAGAGAGAGTATATATATATATATATATATATATATAACTCCTTAAAAGGATGAGATTTTCGTAGTCATGAGGGACCCAATGGAACGCCTGGTCGATGTTGGCTCCGAGCTGGCACAGGCATTCCACGACGTTGGCCCAGCGAAGACGGGAGGCCTCCGTTCAAAGCAAACCCAACGGGTCTAAGTTATAGTGTTAGGGGTTTAGGGTTTAGGGGTTTAGGGAATTAGGTTTAGGGTCTTAGGGTTTAGGGGTCTAGGGTTTAGGGGTTGAGGGTTTAAGGGCTTAGAGTTTAGGGGCTTTTGGGGCTTAGGGTTTAGGGGTCTGGGTTTAGGGGTTGAGGGTTTAGGCGTTAGGGGTTGAGGGTTTAGGGGTTGAGGGTTTAGGGGTTTAGGCTTTAGGGGTTTAGGGGTTAGGGGGTCTGGGGTACGCCTAAACCCTTGAACCATGCACTCTACTGCCCCCAACATTGTCTGCAAGTGGAGGATGCACAAGTGCCCCACACAGGGAGCTGGAGACTTCTCGAGAGGCCTGTGTGGGATGAGTTGGGCTCGTCTTTCTTCACGTTGTTCGTCTTGGCCTGATCGTCCCTGTCGTACAACACCTTGTATTTGTCGTCTTTGCCACCTGCGCATGACGCGCGAAACATCTCACACTCCGTGCACAGCCACCAAGCGAGCCTGCCACGATGTCTTGGCTCATGTTGCAGCGAGCAGCAAGAGAACAGCAAGGCGAAGCGGTACGAGCAAGAGACGTCATTGGTCTACACACCCGGTATGGCATAGGTTTTCGGATCCACACGCAAACCCGGAACCGATACACTGCCCGACAATCTACTGTTACAGAGTGGGGGCAGTAACCAAAGCACGGTATACACTGTTGCGGCCCATAAGAGTCCTTAAGCAGGTAAGTGATTTGGGGTTTGGGTAAGGCTGTTTTATGAATGCCCAGACCCAATAAACCTACATTTTCAGGGTGCCTCTCTAACTTTATGATTTCCATATATAAGTCCCTAAAACGAAGTAAGGCTGCTTTTGAAATACCTGTACATATATATATATATATATATATATATACAGATAGACCCCAAGAGACTTGTATTTTCAGGGTTCCTTGTTCTGGTATCCTTGTAGAAGCCCCCAAAACGGCCGGATATTTGGGGTTAAGGTAGCAGCTTTCAGGATTTACGTCTCGTTTAGTGTTCAGGGTCTAGGGTTTGGGGTCTAAGTATGAATTATGAGGGGCTGATCATTGTTGCTTATTGTGATTCAGTTTTGGTGGATCAGGAAATAAGGACTAGTTTTGAAGAAAAATATGATCGCCTAAACCGTACATGCACCCCTAATCACCTCACTTATTTGGGGTTCCTTGTTATGATTTCTTTACATAGGTCCGAAAAAGGTACGAGTAAACCCCAAACACAACACACACCTGAACTCCAGAAACCATACACCCTAAGCATCCTTGCAGGGACCCTAAAGTTGCAACTTAGAGCCCACGACTTACCTTTCTTTGGTTAGTAGGGAATGGCGGAATGGGGTACAAATATAACTATATACTACTACTACCAGTCTTCCATTCCCTACTAACCAAGGGTAAGACAACCGGCGCCACAAACCCGGATTGTGGAACCCTGAAGCCCTGAAAACACAATCTTGACGATCCGGATAAACCCTTAATTCAATACTAGCCAACCCTAGGAACCGTTGTACTTACAGGAACTTTACAGCAATCATAGGTGCCCGTGTAATACTTAAGGGAACCCTTGTCGTAACTCGTTTATAGACCCTAAACACCGCAATAAACTCTATAAGCCCAGAAGCCTTATAAACGTTAATAGACTTTAGCCTTACAAAGCTTCTAAGCCTTATAAACCCTGTACACCCAAAAGGATCAGCTCTTCGGGATCCTCGAGGATCGGCGTTCGACCGCCGCTGTCGGGCCTCACGAGGGCGCGACGGCTAAGTGTTCCTAACCCTAAGGCTCCAAAGAGGGTCTTGGGCTTTCTGGGGGAGGAGGGCCTAAGGCCATTATGCAGCGTTTACTGACGCTTGGTTAGTAGGGAATGGAAGAATGGTAGTAATAGTAGTTACAATTGTACCCCATTCCTCCATTCCCTACTAACCAAAGGTAAGCTAAGGCCCCAAAGTAATTCCTTTTTGGGTTCATATATAGAATCCTATAAGGTAATCCCAAAAAGGAACTAGTATGGGGTCTACTTGGAGGTTCATGGGTAGTTATAAGTAGAGTTATAAGTCCCCTAATATTGGTTATAACTATAGTTACGCTACCTATAACTCCACTTCTGACTACCCATGAACCTCCAAGTAAGGCCATTATGCAGCGTTTAGGCTTAAGGGTTTCGGGTGGCAGGCTTTAGGATCTATGGATCAGGGTCGACATTGTAAGAGGTTAGAATATGGGTTACTTGCATGGGTTTGGGTGGAATGTTTCACAATGGGGCTCCATAAGGACTCATATGTGATATTTGAAGGCTTTTGGGCCCAAACACCATACTATATAGGGTTTTTGTGCTATTTTGATCCCCAGTGTAAGGTAGCTTTAGAGTTGGGCGGCGACGAAGGCAACAGAGCCGTTTTGGTGTTCTGAATCCGCGACACCGGGGTTCAGGATTGGTTGCGAGAAATATACATCACATAATGTTGCAGTTTCAGGGTTGAGGATTATAGGCCTGTCACTGTTTAGAGTTTAGGGTTAGAGCCACCGGGACGTTGGTTGATGTAGAGGTCTGAGTCATTGGTAGCCGTAGTTTCATGCTTTGTGTTCAGCTAAGCCCATGTTCTAATCATCTGTATTATCTATATGAGTCCCTATAAAAACCTAGGTTCAACCAAACCTAGAGCCTAAAACAAACCTAGATACCCTACCGTAACCCCGAATGACGTATCTTTTTAAGGACTTATATAAGGAAATCATAATCAGGAACCTGAAAAGGAAAGGTTATCCAGGCTTAAGGCTACCTCTAAACCCTAAACCCTATAAACCCTAAATCAAACCTATACCCCTGAACCCTAAACCCCATAAACCCTAAATCAAACCTATAACCCTAAACCCTAAACCCTATAAACCCTAAATCAAACCTATAACCCTAAGCCCTCTATACAAACCCTAAATCCCCAATTCCCATGCCAGGTGGTACTCCTCAGTTCTGCCTGACAGTACAGGGCGGCCAGGTCGAGGAGACCCCGGATCTTCTGTGTTTTCCCTTCGGGTCTGAAGACTTATTGGGTTTCTTTAAAGGGATCCTATAAGGGATCTATAGGGGTCTAGGGTTTATTGGGTTTCCTTAAAGGGATCCTGTAAGGGTCCTAACCGTCCTAACCCTTTAGGGAACCTCAAAATGTAGGATTTCTGAGAAGAGACCCAAGGGCTCTCCCTACCGGACCCTCCTAAGGAGATACCTGGACCCTTAGGGTTGGAGCTCGTTTGCGATTTCAACAGCCTCCAAAAGCTTTTAGGGTTAACTGGGTTACGGTTTAGGGTTCAGGGATTAGGCTTTCGGGTTATGATTAGGGCTCTACGGCGAGAAAACAGTAACGAACGCTAAAAATCATCCCAGATCGATGCATGGTTTAGGGTTTAACGTTTGAAAGGGCTTGGGGTAAGGGTTATTGGCCTGCTTTAAACAGGCTGATGATCTCTATCACATCCTAACACTGCCTAATCTAGCCCTAATTAATAAGGATCCCTATGTATTAACCTATGTATCTTAAAACTGAAACCCCAAGTAAAGAGAAC